GACTCAACAGTTGCACAACAGTTGAGTAATTTGTCAATGTAATTGGTCTAGATTTAGGGATCTAATAGCAAGAACCAATAATCGTTGATTGCTCACTGAGCGCTTTTTCTACTGAATGCGCCCAATGACTGTGATTGGTCAATTTGCTTACTGCTACGTTTTACTGCTTAAGTTTTTTTGTGTGCTATTAGCCTTAAGCTGGCCATACACACACTTTCCGTAATGGCTCCTGCACACAGGACGCGGTAATGCTTGCCGTGCGGCGAAAATTCACGCGACAGCCAATCAATATGCTGCTTTCCGTAATAACCTTCTAGCTCTTATGGAAAAACAACATATTGATTGACCGTCGCGTGGCAAGCATTACCGCGTCCTATGTGCAGGAGCCATAATTGTCGTAAACACCCATTATAGATTATAAATAGTTCCGTCCAATCCGTGCGGATAGAATGTAAACTTGCGGATCGATTTAGACGGAACGAACGTAAAACAGGTTGAGCCAATTACGAGCGTTTCGCCCATTTCGCATTGCGCATACGTTCCGTTCCATGTGACCGCACCATTGCAGTAACTGGACGACTCACATCCGAAAGTCTGCTCTTTGTAGCTGAATTAGTGCACACTTTCGGAATGTGAAAGGAAACAAGCATATAGCTGTGACGGTGTAAAAAAGAGAGAGAAACAAATCGCGCAGCAATCGAGATAATCAAAGTATCGGTTCGACTCCTGGTTTATTCTTTGTAACTGGCACTAACTTCCATTAGTACAATTAGTTCAGCTATAGACTGCGTTCTGAAATTCACTGCCAGTGTTAAAATTTTATAGTATACGTAAGATGAATTATATAGCGTGTTCGACTGGCCCTGGGTTAATCGCTCCGAGAGCGATTAATGACGTCATAAGTCTCTACTAGTCAATCATAAAGCTTATAAGTACTTGTTCGACCAATAAACGTAGGCTGAATAACCCAGAGCCAGTCAAATATGCTATCAGTCGAACATGCTAATAAATTTTCAGTATTGAATTTTCAGTAGTGAATTTCGGAACACAGCTATAAAGAACAAACCACGAATCGAACCGATATTTCGATTATCTCGATCGCTGCGATATTCAACCAGTTACAGAATCATGGCGCGACGGTTCAAGCACAAAAGTTTTCCGGCCGTGCACCGTTACGATCAGACGTGTTCGAACAAGTTCGGACCTTGAGATTTTTGGAACGTGCCTGGGAATCTTCCTAGACTTTATTTCTTATTAAAATCGTTTCACACAACCTTGATTCAATATTAAACTTTATTCTCATTAACTTGAAATGGTGTTGCGGGGATGTCTCCTTGAGAATCCCTATAACCATATACTGAAGGAAGGAAGGAAGGAAGGCTCAAGCACAAAACTATCAACTGAATTCGTGTAATGGTGTTAAGGTAAAATTCTTAATGAAGCCTGGAGTTATTTATTGAAACTGAAACTGACTCGAGCACAAAAGCCACTTTGTATTTTTCGCTCGATGTTGACTCTTCAAAAGTATCCCGCGCACGAATAATCATCAGAAGTGAATAGGCGAGTTTTTTAATTCATCGATGGATCCATTGCATGATGCGTAAATACAGCGAAACATTGTATTTGTGCATCATGCGATGGATCCATCAATGAATTAAAAAACTCGACCATCGTTAAATAGCTACTGTAAGTGATTACCATAGCTTTAAACGCAACAAAACTTGTATAGTATGTGCTCGAGCTTCTATTTTTATTATTGCAATTTTTAGAATAAAGCAGAACACGGATAACATTGATTTCATTTATTAACATAAGCGGTAAACTAATAATAAATATTCATGGTATCGTCATTAAAATAAGTTTTGTTTATAAAGTGTTGTTTATTAACATTACACATTCAATTAACCGAAAAATGCAACTTCTTGTGTATTCTTTCTAAAAATAATATCCACGCGCGCGCGCGAGTATACACAAAATACACATTTTATAAAAATTGCCGCACATTGCGGACATAATTTTGTACGCGTGTGGTTACATTTAAATGCAAATGTGTGTATATATATATATATATATATATATATATATATATATATATATATATATATATACACACACACACACACACACATATATATATATATATATATAACATCTCCCACACACGTATACAGATATGTGAAATTTGTGATTCTACGCATATACAAGTATAAATAAATGGATAAGAGAAACAAAATATTTCATATTAAAGATATCTAAACATGCCATGCTTGGCAAAACTTTTTTGTAATTGTGCCAACATTGTATTTATAAGACATAACTTGTTGCTAACAGAGTGTTGAAAACACGCAGATGAGAAACGTTGAAATAAAGTTCAATAAACCTATTTATTTAGAATTGGAATGTGTATCGATTGGAAATAACACAACATTCTATAGACATAACATAACATATTTTTCTAAATTGCTAAATTACACAGACCTTATGTTACATGTCGTGTTATTTATTGCAAAAATGTTATTTATTTCAAAAATAACGTTACTCCGGTTATCTTTACGTTACATTACTTTTCAATATAAATTCAGATAAATATTTTTCAGGTAGTATAAATGGATTAAACTTTTTTAAAATATATATATACACGAATATACTTTCTTATATCACATAAACTTGCGGCATGCAGAGGCAGTGCTAATAGAAAAATGCAATTGAGAGCTCGACAAAATAGTGTCATTGTCATCTTTACGCAGTGTATGTATATACTTGAAAAGATTAAGAGATACATGTAAACATTATAACTGATAAAATAGGAAAAGCAACGTTTTAATATCAACATTTTTATAAGTAGGATTTTTACCAAGGAATACAATATACAAGTATGATCTCTTAAAAGTTTTACGATGTTGCATATATAATTCTAACGTTGCATCTTTGGTCGGTGTTGCAAAAAAGGTATCTAATAATTACAAATCTAACAAAATTGCATAAGTGTATGCAATAAGCATTGGTTGCCGAATGCAAGTTTGTTTGAACGGATAGCTTCAATATTTCTATTGAAAATAATGTGTATCATTCTTTGCAGATGTAAGTAATAATACAACGAGATAAGTATGGTGGAATTTCCGTCACTATAAAACGGGTATGCTTTGATCGCATTGATCAAGAATTGTATAAAAAGACTAAGATTCCCTCTTGCTGTTATACAAAATCAAATTGATACTTCTAATTATTAATGAGAAAATAACTTTCGAGCTTATATCTGTTGTTTCCTTTAGGATATACAAAATCTACACGCTTTTAATCCAGTCTTTTATCTTCTTATTACACGTATTCATCCTCTCGACCCTTTTATATTTTTACACACGGAATATTCCAAAAAGATTTCACTCAATTGCAGAAACATATTTCAATTGTTTTAAGCGCGTGCGTAACAGCTACTTATTGGCGTATATATTCCTCGCAAGTGAAATATATCTTTGTCTTTCGGACAGTTAAAATTTGCACGAATCTATCTGTCATTCGACGAACACATTCTTTAAGTTTGACCGAACATCTCAGGAACATTCTGTGTAATGTCCTTTAAGAAGAAAAAACTATTTGTTTTAGTATATCTTAGTACAGTCTCTTATATATTCAGTGTTCATTTCAGCGACATTCCGTAATCCAATATCATAAAATCACGTAAAGCATAAATACGGTGGTATCAAGGTGCGTCGATTATATAGATTTAATCAGTATTTTAAAAACAAATGCGACTAAATATCACGGATTGATTATACATATTGGGGTGTATGTATGTAATCACCTCATAGATATTTTGAGGAAATATTGTTCGAAAGACAGTGATGTATATATCCCTCTACAGACATGTCAATCCTAACATTTCAGGATGCCATGACAGTCGATTCTATAGTGATATTTGTCAAAAAATTGCAAGTTATATATACATACATACATATATATATATATATATATATATATATATATATATATATATATATATATATATATATATATGTATATATTCCGGCCTTAACATTATCGAAACAAATACAGCAGTATACACATAGAATATGATACAGCTGATCGCAAGGATACAACTTTTGTGGCTTACGAGTCTGTGAATCTTGTCTCTTTGCGGATCTTGAAACACATACAGCCAGTTTTGTGTGAAACGTAATAAATTACGATACGAAAATTGTATATTATATGTCGCGTTTCGACGGTGGTATTAAATGATCTGGCAGTTCAGCCGGAAGGTCGTAACCTTCAAGTTTCACATTAATCAGATGCATAGCCAAGGCGAATTCGTCAGAATCCAAGAATCCATCTTTATTAATGTCAGAAAGTTTCCAAATCTTCCCGAGCACACTGTTGGGCAATTTGGATTTGACCATTTCCGACTTGGCCGCTGCAATCATACAAAATTTCACAAATTAATATTTGATATCAGGAAGACTACGCAAATATACAGAGTGTTACCTTTCCGCCGTCTTCTAGTAAGTACATAGCGTTATCTCTTATGGAAAATTAAATCAGAAAAGTGCTGAATCATTTTTTTTCTATTGTGCTCAACGAAGCAGTCATTTTTAAGTAAATTCCAATTAATCAACGTCCTTTAAACAGGCGCATGTCTGTGAGCGTGAACGCTTCGCCTGTGTTTCGCGCTGCTCTAAACAGTCTGCGCGGCTCACATGAGGCGTTTTTTCGTTTCGTGACAACGGTAGCATTTGGTTGATTAGTTTGGTCCACTTAACATTCACAACACCTCGAGCAACAAAGGTAAATGATGCTCATGGCGTTGCTAGCGTTAAGTGGATCAAACTAAACAAACAATGCTACCGTGGTCACGAAACGAAAAAACACCTATGGACGGTGTTGATTAACTGGAATTTATTTAAAAATAACTGTTTCATTAAAAGCATAATAGAAAAAAATCATTTTGGATTTTCTGATTTAATTTTCCCTAAGGAATAAGGAATTATGTACTTGGTGGACGAGGGATAAGGTACCACTCTGCATACACATATGTGTGTATAAACAATTAGGCTAACCAGCTCCCGTGATTTTTCCGTCTTGTGGTCCGAGCGATTCGAAGATGCTGTCGTATTTGTATCTCTCTTTGTTGACGATCCATTCTGGTTCACCTGCTCCTGCATCAATTCCTTCTCCTCTTTTATATCCGAATGGGCTGACTTGATCTTCTACACCTTCAAATGCACCACCTAAACGAATGAAATGCATACGATCTCTTTTAAATTGTATTATTAGTTTATTCTAGCTTTTTTTCGCAAATGTTCCATTTTTCGAACAATTTTAACAAACATTTTACAGAAAGTTTAAGATCAATATTGAGGACTATTTTCACTGTCAGAGGACTATTCATTGGAGCTAATTTTAATTTCAAAGTTTCTTTTTTGAGCGGTTCTGTCTACTTATAAGGACTGATATATATAGATCTTTCATAACAGAATTCTCTTCCAAAAAACAAAAAGGATATTTATTGATATCATTTTTCCAAATCGAGAAGTAAAATTCTCGCAATTGCCACACGGTATGAAGAGTAGAAGATACAGTGAAGATTATACCTTTAATAAGCGGTTCCGAAATTTTGGTGACTTCTTCGTGTGGTATCATAGCCATAAGTTTCGCGATGTCTTCGGCGAGCATCTTGTCCACTATTTCTAATAACTTGGGTTTTAATGGATTAAATTTACTAAAGTCGTGATGCGCTAAGCATTCTTGCATTTTCTTCAGATCCGGGAAATCACCCGGTGAAATCTGCTGTTCTCTTTGGATTTGATCATAAATCTGACCCAAGTTCTTTATCAGTTCTTTCTTTTTAGTATCTTTGCCAAATACACTCGGCATGTCTTTTCGTAACGCACTTATTATGTATGCATGCACCTGCAAATTAAGAAACACAGGATCTTCTGTATTCTCTTTCCTTTAGTTTAAAATTAAAAAAAAAAAAAACGTAAAAATACAGTACAAACACGAATTTTTCTCACTTTCAAATACCTTTGCTAAACGGGCTCGTTTAATTAAGTCGTTCAATTTTCTCAGTGCAGCATTTTTTGGCAGCGATTGCATGTCTCTGAATAAGTCTTGCTCCTCGTCCTCGAACAATCTAAAAGGAGAGATTTGTAAGTCGAGATAAGTAGTGATTATATATTGATGTATAAAAATGTACAATCCATAAAGAAGGCTCAAATCGATTAATCTCCCATTACTGGATATTTTCATCACTATATCATTTCTCTATTACTATCTACATTTACCTTCTATTAACGTCATATCTCAGCGGCTGATCCCAAAATGAGCCGATATAAACTCTGGCCACCTCAGGAGTTTGCAACACCTTTCCCAATGACCACATTAATGCACCGTATACTCTCATGAGCTGCTGATGATCTATCATATCAGCTTTATTAAGAACAATTCTAATTTTATCATCGTGTCCGCGTAAGGCTTCGATGGATCTACGAAATTCGTCCGATATATCGAGTTTGTGAGCATCAAACAACAATATAATTCTATCTACGCGCTCAGCAAACCATTCTAAAACACCGGTGAAATCGTATCCTCTGTCAACCTAAAGGACATATTTCGACACGTTATAGTATGTATCGTATATATACGCACGTACGTGCGCGCAAAGAGAGGATCACTTACTCGTTGCTTCTCACCGGACAATATACCCGGTGTATCGACTATAGATATACCCTTCAAGACAGGAGAACCTACTGTCGAACATTGAAATCTATTCAAGAATGCATTGCCGAATTTTGAGAGTGGTCTAAACTGTTTGTTTGGATCAACAACCAAAGCATTTCCGGGGATAACGCCCTCCTTTTCATCATACATAACAGCTATAAATCGATCCGTAGTAGGCTCTGGTCCGATTCTAATGCCAGGAAACTCTCTCTCTAATAGATATTTGATAAATGTAGTTTTGCCTGTGGAATATTGACCGACTAGGAGGATCATGGGCTTTGCATCAAAGTCTGGATCATCCAGTTGTGGCGAGTGAAAATCATGAAACTGATAGTGTTGCTCCAATGGCAATAACTTGGACTTGTATATCCTTTTGAGCCCGTCGGTGACATTTTCAAAGAGGTCCTGCTTACCATTCTCCTCACGACTCAACCAGCTGAACATATTGGCGTTCTGTGAACAAATCGAATCTTACATATAGTGTCATACCGCTCCATTATAAACAATACTTGACTTATGGTACAAGCTTGTATTCTAAGAATTGTACTAAACATTAATATTGTAATTAACTCTTTCATTACTATTCAAAGAGTATTGTTCTCAATTAGTTTTCCTCTCTCCTCTGTACATTCAGATATATTTATAATTCGCGAAGCTTTGCACTTTTTTCACGCACTACCTCTCGCTTTTTCTTGGTGCTCGGTCAGGTCAGAGAAGGAAGGTTAAGTTCCTTCCGCGTCGCGAATATACACCGCGAGCTCGCTTCCGCTCTTCGCGTTTTCGAAGGGACGAGAGATGTCACGTGAGAAATTGTGTCCTAGCTTGGAGGAATTCCAGGAAACTTAACAATTTCACGTTTCGATCGTACAACACTGTCAAAGGCGAGACAGTCGGGATTATCACCTTCTCTTATCAATGATATCTTTGAATTCCACGCGATCGTGGAATTCAAGGCATAATACTTGACGCGTGCATTAAAATATGAGGATGCGTGGAACAAACTCGTCAGCACTTTGACTTTGATCAAGGACCACAAGTACACCGACCTTTGTTCGAATCCACAAGTCAAGGTTGAACGGTTGGAGCGTCAATGGAGCGCGATGGACGAGACGAATGCGGACTAATCCGGGAAAATCCAGAAGGCGATAAAGGCGCAGAGCGAAGACAAGATGTGCCGTCGCTGACGTGACGTATACGCACCAACCGCAGCAATCTCGACACGCGGACTTCCGGAGGACGTGGTGGTGGTAGTAGTGATGGTAATGGTGGTGGTGGTGGTACGGTGACGGTGCTACTCGAACGGAGCGGCTACTCGATACGTTGCAAACTGTCGGGAAAGATGCGTTGCGTTGCGCTACGATGACACTCAAACAGCCCGATACCGAGGCGGAGTTACTGATAAATAGAGAACCGATGTATCATCGCGCTCGGAAAACACCCCTTTCTTGGACGCGCACACGACACAGCGGACAGTGCACGGCTGACAACTGACAGTCGCCAAGGCGCGAATGAATGGGTGAGATGGAATAGGGAGGGAGACGCGCACGATCAGTCTTGTCAGCCATTCACAGCCGGCGGTTTGAGTAGCGTTAGTTGTGAAAGATACGACCAACGAAATTACAAGGAGATTTGAGCAACTAATTTTGGCTATCGATACGAACCAGAAATTCGTTATTGTAATTTTGAAAAAAGAAGAGAGGAGCAAAATCGAGATATCTCGATCTTTTTCACGATCGATGCGCTGCCAACAGTCGTCATACGTTGCGTGAGCAGAGAGCGTAGAATCGTCTTTGCGACAGTTTTGATAATTTTATGCTCTTTAAACGAAAAAAAAGTAAAGCAAATTGTGAGATTTCTGAGATCAAACGTAAAAGCGAGCGTGCATAAAATTGATTTACTATCTTTGCGACATTTTCATTCTTATTATATGCCTTTCGTTAAATATTTACATCATAGGATCATAAGGTAAGAATGACTCGATCGCAACGCGGCTAAATCACGCTTAAATTAGCGTATAAATTTTTAATTACGTTTCCCCTGGATAAGTTTGCACGTAAGCTTGATTTTCACGCCGAAGAAAGGAAAAGCAAGATAACAAAACGGAAAAAGCGTATATTTTCTTGATTTTATTCTCTTCAAGGAATGCGATTAAGAATTGATACGACAATAAAAACCTCTTTTTCACTGCCTCACTGATGTAATAATTATTAATTTAATTGTACAGCAAGCGTACGGCAAAACGTCCACCTGGCTGGTTCGAAAATGTCCGACAAATATATAAAAGTATAACATGAGATAAAGAGATTATAAAATATGATGATACGTACAGAGAAAAATATATGACGTAAGAAAATGGGCCCTCAGGAAATACAGGGTGTCGTGAATCTCTCGCACTTCCTCCTACACGTGCAAATAGTACGTTATGCAACGCTGTAATAGCGAATGATAGTGACATAATGGCAGAGAGGCGTAATGTTAACAATGTGCGGCCATGCCGAGAGACAATCGATAATTCTGACCTTCCTTCGTTTAGTATGCCCGATCGAATTGTCGGATCGTAAACACGTGGTGATAAACGCGGGCAAAACCGTGTTATTTCATCAAACAGTGGGTCATTCGTAGGAAACGATGAATTTATGCTCTTTGTGTATCGACTAAGATATCCAGAAGCAGCGGTAGAATTAATTAGCGGCACCGTGTGCGATCGCTGTGTTCGTTATAATTATAAAAAAAAAAAAAAAACAAAGAGAAAGGAAATAAAAGAAAGAAAAGACATGTAAGAAGAAAGGATAAACCGGGCCAGGTTAGCCAGGAGTATATTTTTAATATGAGAGAAACGGCTCCATTTGTGATATCTATTTCCTCGAGTTTCATTAAAATCGGAAAACGATACTGTGTGCAATTATAAAAGTGGAAAATCTGACTTCGCGTCTTTTCGCGTTAACGTTTTTTCTGTCGTGAGTGTATAAGCTCATCTAGACCGAAACACCGATTTACCGATTATATATTTCGAGCAGGTATGCACTTCTTCTTCTTCTCCAAACTTATATAGAGATCCCAATCATCCCTCTCTATCTATTTATTCTCTGTAGGGTACTAATTGCTCGTTCCATAGATACAAGATAAAACACGTTTCGTTGTGCATTTATCAGAAATCGTAATGCATCGACGAAGATGTGATATCTTCTGTCATTCCATTGAACGCTACAGTTTAATTGGCGCACTATTTGGTGCGACAGTTTGCGCAATAATCGCGCGCGGTATTACGCAATGATATGCAAAACGTCCGGTGCTACAGTCATTGCATAAGTAACCCGGATACATTCCGGTTAAACGATTTCGTGTCCATTTATTCTTCTTAACAAGCTTCGCTTGAATTACAACTGATTCGCTAGGATACGCCAAGCTGTAACTGCAACGATACATTACGTACTTGACTATGGAACACTCGCAATTTTCCCGAGAAACGGAAGAGACGGAACGATGTCTCTCTCGAGACTGTTGTCTAAGTTTCGTGCGAACGACAGAGAGAAATCAAAATTATTGAAATAAACTTGAATGTTTATTCCATCGCGTTGCTTCTTCGAGTTGTTTCTACTACTGCCTCTTTACGAGACACACACACACATGTTATAACTTTAATGTTTAATTCTTGTCTATTTTCCCGGATATATTATTTGGGCGGGACTCCTAGAGTTTATATAGATGTGCGATACTTTCTTGCGCGCAAAATTTATTATCTTTTATCATAATGTCAATATAGATATTGCCAGAGATAAAGTGCTTGTCAGATTTTATATAAACGATAACCGCCTACTCTAGGATAACCGCTTCGATGATAACACATTTTGTGCAACCACTCGCGCCAGAGGTGCAACCTGTGCGCATCATTCTTCGTATCATACCGACACATGATGAACACATTTATTGAGTGTTAAAAACTTACATTTTCTTACGTGCAAGTAGATTTAATAACAAGATATGCACAATGGGTTTTCTCGGTTTCTATTTCGAAGTAGGTAATTAGAAAATACACAACACATTGGTGAGTTCGTCGCAAAAAGCAACAGTCTTCTGTTGTATGTATATACACGCCCCGAAGCATACACATAAAATATTCTAATGAATGTTATACAAGTTAGGCGACAGTAATAGGTGGATAATTAAAGCGTTTGCCAAAGTAGAAAATATATACGGATTTATTGTGTTTCTCACAATGAATATTATAATACACTTACAACATATTCATTATTACAACTATGTAAAAAATAATATTTCCATAAATTATGTTGAAATATACGCAATTTCATATATTGTACTGCGCGCGCGAAGCTCTACGACGAGCTCTAATACGAGACTTGAGAATTTTACTTTTCATATATTTGGCGGAAGCCGGAGATTCAATCTTTTTGCTAAATCATATTGCGCGTACTCTTGACTAAAGTTAATTATTAAGAGTCACATTGTATTATTTTCAGGATAAACTTTACAAATTGTGGTAAACGCTGTTTCGAGGATATCCCCAATGAATCGTTTCGCAGTTAACATAACAACGACAGAATTTACGACGACACAGCGTATGACAATGAGCTGTGCTATAAAATTATTTTTCTCTACGCTGTTCTAAAATCGCAAATACACAAGCTCGGTAGTATGTAGTGGTTTTTTCTTTTTTTGTCATCTCTCCCGTTGTTCAGAAATTTTGCTGTAAATTTCAATCAGATTATGATAGATTTCATCTCCTGGCAGATTTTACCATGTTTCACATACGATCGATTTTTATTGTTTTTATAGAAAATAACGCTAGATGATCGAAGGTGAGATAAATTCTCCGGGAAGTTACGCTGCATTGTACGACTTCTTTTCTACCAACGATGGTTCCTGCCAACCGCCGAACGCCCTTTCGATTTCTTGCGCGACAGCAATCGTTAAATGGTCGCAGCCTGGATTCGCAACGATCTGCGAACAAAACGTGAAAAAAGTTGTTTTGGTTAATTTGCATATTTTGCAAGATCGAAAAGAAAAAGAGATGACTCAAGATGTCTTTAAGACATACTTGACGGAGACGATGTTTTTTATAGGGGCCTTCTACAACGAGCTATTAATCATAAACTATAGGCATTATTTTCAAAAATAATCGGTTCATTTTTGCGGCTTATGATTAATGGCTTATTGTAGAAGACTCATTAGACATGTGCTGTTATGCTGGATTTTTCTTACTTGAAGTCCAATCGGCAGTCGGTTCTTGTCGAAACCCAGCGGGCATTGTGTGACCGGAAGTCCAAGCGTGTTAAAGATCATGAGATACGTGAAATTGCACGCGTTATACATAATCTCGTGAGGATAAGGCGCCGACGAGATGAACGACGGATAGATCAGCACACCGTTATTGCCTAGCATCTTCTGATCAAACACATCATTGTTAGTCGACATTATGACGCTGATATTTAAATCTTTTTTTACATTTCCCTTATAGAAATATCATACTAAGAATCATTGATAATTACTTATTTTTAGTATTAAAAATACTGGATAATAAGTAATTATCAATGATTCTTAGTATGATATTTCTATAAGGGTTGTCAAAGGCTTAACGCTCATTCATAACACATTTATCGTAAACAGATGCGGAATTGCCGTATTGTCAAATTTCGATATTCAAACTAAATACTTGCAAGTGTTTGAACTAAACTATAATGAAAGAGAGAGAGAGAGAGAGAGAGAGAGAGAGAGAGAGAGAGAGAGAGA